AAGTCAAACAGAGAAAGACATGTATCATATGATCTCACTCATATGAGGGATTCTTAATCGCAGGAAACAAACTGAGGGTTGTTGGAGTGGGGGGTGGGGTGGGAGGGATGGGGTGACTGGGTGATAGACACTGGGGAGGGTATGTGCTCTGGTAAGCGCTGTGAATTGTGCAAGACTGTTGAATCTCAGATCTGTACCTCTGAAACAAATAATGCAATATATGTTAAGAAAAAAAAAAGAAGAAGAAGAAGGTAGGGGGAGGGGAAGAATGAAGCGGGGAACATCGGAGGGGTGGACCAACCATGAGAGACAATGGACTCTGAAAAACAAACTGAGGGTTCTAGAGGGGAGGGGGGGTGGGAGGATGGGTTAGCCTGGTGGTGGGTATTGAGGAGGGCACATTCTGCATGGAGCACTGGGTGTTATGCACAAACAATGAATCATGGAACACTTCATCTAGAACTAATGATGTAATGTATGGGGATTAACATAAGAATAAAAAAAAAAGAAAAAAAAAGAAAACCTATCTTTGTTCTGGCTTGGTCTACATTTAGCTTTCCATGTTTGTCAGATTTTCCTGATAATAGGCTGCAATTCTTGATTCTTATTTTCTACAGCAGATTGATTGCTTTTTCTATTATTGTTTACTGAGTTTGTCATTTTTGTCTACAATTCACTTGTGGTATTAACTCTTGATCATGTTAAGGATGCTTTATATCCCTATCATAGTGAGTAAAATAATAATTGTTTTGTGCATAATACCTATGGGGTTACTTTTTGATGCATCTTATCTGTCATTTTTGCTTTAATATTAAAGATTTATTTCAACTTATTTTGCATTTTGCTTCTAAGAATAAACATTTTACATTCTTTGTACATTGAGAGGCTCTAAAACTACTTTGACCAACAATTTCACTTTTGACTGCCATATCAGATGAATATTTCTTGTCATTGGATGTAAACCTGGACACTGTAATGCTTTCTGTGTAATATCAGACTCCTCCCCATTTTGCCTGCAATAATGTAGTGCTTTTTAGTAAATTTCATATTTACTGTTTGTATGAACCACATACAAGACCAGTACAAAAACACTAATATTTTAGGATCCACAGTTATTTTATCCAGTTAACAGATAATCAGATTCTCCTGCTTTTTCTCTCGCTTAAGAAGAAATATATGTTACCTGTACGTAGACAGCATACACATATATTTGTTATAGTAGCAAATGGTTCAACAGTACAAATTCATATCCAGACATTCCTGATTCCTGATCTTCAGTCCTCCATTTACCCTTCTTATTAGCACTGTCATCAGTTTATGACGTTTGTAAATAGACTCATTCCTCTTCTATATGAATGATCACACTGCCGACACTGCTCCGTACCATGTTAAAATACTCTAGACTAAGTAAACTTCATTAGGAAATCAACCCTGGGATGTCAGTGGTTTAACTAAATAAACTTATTTCCTGATTGCAGTTTATCCCCAATCTGTTGTTGACAGATAGGAAGTGGAGAGCCCCAGGGCTCTGCTCTATCCATTTGCTCAGTCACCTGGGCTGACAGTCTCTATCTTTCTATTTGGTAAGAAATGGGACACAGTCTCTGTCCTCCACTGCAGAGCAATCGAGTAGAAGAGGAAATCATTCATTAATGATTAAGGGCCTCAATTAAGTCACTCAGAAGCAATTAAGGTGACCTATGTCTCTTATGCTCATAGCCCTTGACTATACCTAGTCAGATGGTCCTGAAACAGCTAGAGAACTGGGCAGTATGGGCCTCCTGAAAAAAAATGTAGCCTTCACATGCCCAGAAGATAAGATATATTGGACACTAGTCTACCACTTGCATCTCAATCTTTTTTGTTTAAATATATAGAAATATATATGTTTAATATATATGTGTATGTATATATATACACATGTGTACATATACACACATATGTGTATATGTATATATCTGTGTCCTGGAGCTCATTCTGTGTTAGTAAATATATCTCTGATTTTAAAGGCTAAGTAATGTCTCATTGTATGAAAATACCAAATTTTACTTACCTAGTCCTGTACTAGGTTGTTTCCAGTCTTTTGCCAGTATAAAAATGCTGTAGTGAATAGCTTTTGTGAACAAGTACAAGCATGTTACTGGGATATATTTCTGGAAATGGAATTTTTGCAGCAAATTGTATGTGCATATAAAATTTTGAAACATACATGTTATAAAACCAGTGATATTTTGGGGGCAACTGGGTGGCTCAGTCAGTTAAGTGTCTGCCTTTGGCTCAGGTTATGATCTCAGGGTCCTGAGGTTGAGGCCCAAGTGGGGCTCCCCACTCAATGGAGAGTCTGCTTCTCCCTCTCCCTCTGCACACCCCCCATGCTCTCTTTCAAATAAATAAATAAAATCTTTTTAAAAAATGGATATTTTCTTTTATATGTATTATCTGTGTCTTCAGTATATTTGTCTCCTTTTTTGATTTGTTGGAACTGATTTACATGTTTTGATTTATGAAAATTGATGTTGAGTTATTTGGTGCATAGATATTAATAACTTCTGTATCTTCATAACAAAGTGCCATCCTTTGTCACATTTCAAAGACCTGCGTTTAATTTTTGTTTTATTAAGAATGTGACCCTGTTTTCATTTTGCTGGTGGTGGTGTCCTCCTTTTTATCTCTGGATTTTGTAACTACTTTGTTTATTTTGTATACAGCATTGGTATTAAATTTTGCTTTGGAATTCAATTTAATTATTTTTTCTTTTAGTAGACAAATTGAGTCAGTTTACAGTAATTATCAAATTCAGTCTTTGTTTTACCATATGTTAGTGTTGTTTTCCCCCCTTACATAGCCTTGCAGTTTATTTCCTTTGTTTCTCCATTTATTTCTTGTTATAATTAGGAAGAATGTGATTTTTTAGTACTTTCTTTTTCAGCTATCACTTTTTAAAACACATATACTTTCATGTATTTATTTTCTGCTATGAATTTCCTACTACGACCAGTGGTAAAAGTAGTATAATTCATTTTCTCCTTTCCCTTCTTTACACATTTTGATTAATTATATTTCTTAATTGATTCTTAGTTCTAATAATTGAATTATCAATTATAAATGACATATTTTGGTACCTTAGATATAAAATTAGAGGAAATTCAGAACCCCTCTACTATCTTACACCCTTTTCTGTTGCACATCCAATTTTTATTAGTTTTATAAATTTCTATCTTGTCAGAGAATATAAAAATATATACTCTTATCAATCCATCCTAAGTTTGTTTTATTTTATGTAAGTAAATTCATAATCATATATAAACCCTCTTGCCGTATATTATCTTTTTTGTTGTTGTTAGAAATTTATCCCGTAGATTCGAAGAAAATTCTACAAAGTGGGACTCATGGGAACAGCATTCTTAAGTTTTTTCAGGATCTCAACTATCTATTTTTCTATTTATTTTCAATATTTTGTCCAAACTGGAGCACTTCAGAGTGAGAGTGGGTTGCTACTAATAACTATACCAGGACAATGGGTATCAACTCAATTGTATCTCAAGCTAATAAGGATGTATAGACATCCCACCTGATTGTCAGTGTATAATTTTAATATACACATTACAATATTCTGCAAGCTATAAATGGTAAACCTAATAAAACTCTGAGACAAAATAAGTTTTTTTGATTGTATTTTAGAAAAATGTTTCATTCCAGTATTTTATCCCCACTCTCCAACTTGAGGACTAAAATATATATACATGTTGGAACTCCATTTTCTTTCCTTCATATTTGTATTTTTTCCCCTAAATTTTTAAAATTATTCATATATTTCCATCTTATTGTTCCTGGGTTTATTATTTTTATTCTCTATCTTTCTTGTATTTTTTCACATTGTCTCATCTTATGATGCTTCCAATTTTGCCATCATTTATATTATAATTTTATTTTTTTTTCCTCTCAAACTTCCCTGAACTCTGGTAGCTCTTATTCAGTCTCTTATGCGTATCTCTTTTCAGGGCACTTGTGTTTCTGCTTTGTGCTTTCTATATAAATATATAAATGATTATTTCATATCTTCTCCCCCCCCCATTTATGGTCATTTGGATTATTCAGTCACAATTTACAGTAACATTTTTGTGATAATATTCTTCTGATACTAGTCTTTCACATTGTTTCTTTTTTTATTATTTTGGATAATATATTTCAAATCATCTCTTCCTTTTCAAAGTAATACACATCTTTGAATCCATTGAGCTTTCCCTAGAACAGTAATTTATAGAAGGTTATTGTAGAAATCATGCCAAGTCTTGCTCTAGGCTAATTTTTTTCCCTTGTGACTTAGGAAATTATATATGAGTTTTTCACTTTTATTTTTTTAAGATTTTATTTATTTATTTGACAGAGAGAGACACAAGGAGAGAGGGAACACAAGCAGGGGGAGGGGGAGAGGGAGAAACAGGCTTCCCGTGGAGCAGGGAGCCCAGTGTGGGGCTCGATCCCAGGACCCTGGGATCATGACCTGACTTGAAGGCAGACGCTTAACGACTGAGCCACCCAGGCACCCCCAAGTTTTTCACTTTTTACTTCATTCTGGACAATGGAGATAGATAGCTGTGGTTGTCTTATCCTAACTTTTGTATTTCTGTGAAATTTCTGCATTTCATTCTTATCTTTAATGTATATTTTCACTGGATATAGAAATCTTGGTTGAGAGATTTTCTTTAAAGCATTTTGTAGATGATATTCCATTATCCTCTATCTCCTTTTTTTTCTAATGAGAACAGTAATTTATATCATTGTTCTCTTATATGTAATATGTCTTTTTCTTGTCCCCTTTCACATTTTTCTCTTTATCTCTGGTTTTCCTCAGTTTGGTTGTAATGTATCCAGTGGGGTTTTCATTGTAATCATCTTAGTTGGCATTCATAGTTATTCATAAATAATTACCCTAATTGGGATAATTATTTAATTTTGTTTTTTGAACTACATTTGGAAAATATTCTTTTTTCTTTCTTTTAAATATGGAGTGCTTCATGAATTTGCATGTCCTCCTTGTACAGGGGTCATGCTAATCTTCTCTGTATCATTGCATTTAGAAAATATTCTGTTATGTATCTAATATTCTTTATTCTTTATCCCCTTTACTATTTAGATTCCAATTGCATATGTATTACATCATTTGCATACGAAGGGACAAAGCATATGAATGGATAAAGACATAACATGCAAAATGTTAGTATTGCACAAAATAGCCTTTAAGGTAAAAAACATTAATAGAAAGTAATGAAGATTAGTTCATAATAATAAAAATTTTAACTTACCAAGAACTAATAATAATTTTAAACTCTATGCACCTGAAATCATAGCCTAGGAGTATATAAATAAAAATTTTCATAAACACAGAGGAGAGAAAAATCTTAAAAACATAATGTAAAATCTTTAATATACTTCATTCAGTATGTGACAGAAAAATAGGACAAGAATACAAACAAAACATCATTATTAAACAATCCTGTTAATTTCTATTAATACTATTTTATCTTAAAGTCTATTTTTTTCTAATAATAGCATATCTACATTAGCTTTCTTTTGCTTGGTATTTACAAACTGTCTATTCATCCATTTGCTTTCAGTCATTCTGTATTCTCATATTTTATGTTTGTGTCTTGTAAACAATTTACAGTTGGACTTTTAAATCAATCTCAAATATTGCTGTTCTAATTAGTGTATTTATTTATTTAATGTCATTAGTCATGTTAGTTGTATATTCACTGATTTAATTTTTGTTTTCTATTCATTCCACCTCTTCTATTTCAATTTTTTCTCTTTTATGTTACATTTAAGATTTTTTTTTTACTTGTTTATATTTTTTAAAAATCTTGAATGTGGGCAACTGGGTGGCTCAGTTGGTTAAGCATCTGCCTTCGGCTTAGGTCATGATCACGGAGTCCCAGGATCGAGTCTCACATTGGGCTCCCTGCTCAGTGGAGAGTCTGCTTCTCCCTCTGCCCTTCACCCTGCTTGTGCTCTCTCTCTCGCTCTCTCTCAAATAAATAAGTAAAAATCTTAAAAAAATAAATCTTGAATGTACTCTTTCATTTAGTTGTCATAGTGTAATAATGATATATAATAATACCTCTGTACTTGGTCTTTGGTCCCTCATTCCAGACACAGAGCTCCTAAAAGAATTTCCTGAGTGATAAGAGTAGCTTTTGTTAACATAATAAGACTCTTTCAGCCATATCTGAGTTTATGCTAATAAGATGACTCTCAGTGGGCCCCTAGATAGCTTCAAGATGAGGACTGGTTGTCAGGAGAACCAACCAGGCCCTGATCTCTGAGGAGATCACCCATGGCCAATGATTTAATCAATCATGCCTATATAATGGAACTTCCATAAAACCCCTGAAGAGTGGTATTTGGAGAGCTTCCAGGTTGGCAAGCATATTGAGGTGCACACCTGGAGGGAGGATGGGGAATTTTGTGCCTCTTTGCTTATGTGTCCCTAACCCTTTTTCTTGGATTTGGCTGTTCCTGGGTTATATTTTTTATAATAAACTGGCGATAGTGAGTAGAGTTTTCCTGAGTTCTGTGAGCTGTTATAACAAGTTACTGAACTGAGGAGGGTGTTGTGAGAGCCCCCAGTTTATACCTGATCAGTAAGAAGTAGGAGAGGCCCAGAACTTGTGATTGACATCTGAAGTTGGGGACAGTCTTGAGGGTCTGAGTCCGTAACCTGTGGCATTTGCCTTAACTCCAGTAGTTGGTGTCAGAATTTAATTGAATTGTATACACTTGATGTTCAGAGAGTTGGAGAAGTGGTTATTAGTATGGGAAAAACCCACTCATTGGTGTCAGAAATATTGTGTATAAAAACAGTTACAGAAGTTACAAAATGTGTACAAAACTAATTAAAGTCTAAAGTAAACCAAACCCTAACAATACCACTACCCCCCGGCAAAGAAAGAATTGTAAACATTTTATCTTTACTGGATCGCTCCTGTTTACTGTTATTTTTTTATGTTTTCTTTTTTTTTTCTTGTTTAATAAACCCTGGTGATACACCAGTGTGGATATGATGCTTCAGGATGTGTTGGATTGATGGTTTCCTTTTGTTTCAGCCTTACACTGTTGGTATCTCAAGTTACTTTGGGAAGTCACTTCTAAGGCTGTGTGACTTGATCAGGCCCTGGCCTCAGACATCTGTTTCCTTCTACCAGACTCCAAAACTGAAGCCAACTTCTCCTGAGTAGATATATCTTGCACTGCAACAACTACAGTGTTCCTGTGTTCTGCTGGCTTATATGGGACCTCCTTTCCCTTTTGTTTTGACATGTCCTTTACTACCTTTGCAAATTTTTTATGTTCCTAAAAAAATGTACATTTAAAATCCAGCAGTGTTCATTTTTTTTCAGTAAGAGAGGGACCTACTTTATAATGACTGCCCCCCTCACTGGAATTCAGCTTCAAGAAGGAATGTTTATGATGTTTTCTAGGAAGGTCCCAGTTAATATTTTTAAGTAATAATTTAATCCATAACTTTCTCATATATGCATCAATTCCTACAATGTGGGAAAGCCCTGTCAGGCTCATCCTTCACTGTCTACATTAAGTGTCAGCTCTTCTGAGGAGGTTTTTTCAACAACAACTATGCACAACAATCAATCACTCTCCCTTCCTTCCCATCCCCCCTCTTCCCTGTGTGTGCTCCTAAGTTGTCTCCACAATTAGGTTAGTAACGTAAGAGCAGGATTCTTTTGTATTCATTTTATTTTATACATTATTTATATATATTTATTTCATTGTACACCTACAGCAACTAGAAAAGTGTACAGAATAAAAACATTCAATATCCCCTTACAATAACATTTTCTACACGAGAACATGGTTATGATGAAAACAAATAACATTTTTCAGTTATATTCACTTTATGCTATAATTTATAGTGATCTGTCCTGAACATTAGAATTATACTTCTCTAGAAAAAATGAAAGGAATACTTGAAGATCAGGGGCGCCTGGGTGGCTCAATCGTTAAGCATCTGCCTTTGGCTCAGGTCATGATCCCAGGGTCCTGGGGTTGAGCCCCACATTGGGCTCCCTGCCTAGCAGGGAGCCTGCTTCTCCCTCTCCCACTCCCCCTGCTTGTGTTCCCTCTCTCACTGTGTCTCTCTCTGTCAAATAAATAAATAAAATCTTTTTTTTTTTAAAGATTTTTTATTTATTTATCTGAGAGAGAGAATGGGAGACAGAGAGCATGAGAGGGGGAGGATCAGAGGGAGAAGCAGACTCCCTGCCGAGCAGGGAGCCCGATGTGGGACTCGATCCTGGGACTCCAGGATCATAACCTGAGCCGAAGGCAGTTGCTTAACCAACTGAGCCACCCAGGCGCCCCTAAATAAATAAAATCTTAAAAAAAAAAAAAAAGAATACTTGAAGGTCAGCAAAAAAGCACATTAATATGAATAAAATTCCAATGTTCATTAGTTTTTTTTAAATACAAAGATTCATTTTAATTTTGCTATGAATGTATATGGTACTCAAGTATATTGCATTTAAGGTACTTCACAGTTCAACATGAAACTGTCAAGTTATTTTGGAGTTCACATCATTCTTGAAGAAGAGACAACACCTTTAATCCTATTATTTTGGCATTTCTTCTTGTCATAATAATTTCATGGTGCACCCTTATACTCTTTTCTGTGTGTGATTTCTCTCTAACTGAAACAATAGATTATAGTGTGACAAAAGAATGATTTTTTTTTTCAGTCAGGCTTCAGTTCACTTTAAAAGAAAATTGCTTTTATGCCTTCCTTACAAAGGAACCTATGATGTTTGAAGTTAAACAAAATGACCTAGTAGAAAATATGTCAGTTTAGAACTACAAGATTTGTGATTGAAGATATCATACTGAATTTTCAGAATACGATGGAAACATTGATTCAAACATCCTCCAAAAATGTCTTACCGAATTCACAAAGAAGCAATAGTGTGTATTTTTTTTAATTGATGAGATATTTTTAAAAGGAATTTATATATCTGGTTAAATTGCTTAGTAAAATGCAATGTTAATATAACTCAAGACCTTTTTACTTACTTAAGAAATGAATCCTATATTTGTATAGCTAAAGTGGAGTTATAAGTTTTGAATTGCAAATCATAAAACTGGAGAAGGTTTAATTTAAATAGAATAGAAGAGATCAGCTAGTCAGACTCTTGAATTTAAATAAGGGCCAATTGAGGCTTACTGTAGGTAGCAGAATAATAAAATAATGGCTTAAATAAAAGTTTAAGAATTAATCATCATACTTTTATTTGTTTTATTAATAGAAGTATTACAGTGTATTTACATTTCAAAAAGTTCTTGATTTAGAACCTTTTAGAAATGGAAAGACACATCTCTGACATTGGTAATAGATACTTCCTTCTATTGCAGAAACTGCACCTGTATGTTGTTTCTTTTATTTAAAATTTTATGTATCAAACATGTAGAAGAGAATAGAGAACTTGAATATGATCATCTGTATACTCAAGTTAAACTTTCTCCCCATTTATTTCAACATCTAAATATTTGGGGAATAAAACATCACAGTTTTGCTCCCCAGGGCCTTTGCATATGATTTTTTCATGTTGTGGACTGCACAACCCTAGCACGCAGCATTTACACTGAAGTCTGAGTGAAACGGTGATCTATAGATCATGCAGAACACAACCAACAGGACCTCAGTCAACCTTTCTTCCAAGAATGAGTTATTATTCTGTATTTAGACTTATATAGTTTTCAATCTTGCTTCACACATGCATCCTCACTTTATCGAACAGGAGTTCATTAGAGGTATGAAGCAGAATTGCCTATGTTTTCTTGAAGTCAGTCTTCAGCCACTCTAATAAGATTCTTTTCTCCTACTTTCAACCCCCCATAATTAAACTTATTTAATATTTATGGATTCATGAGACAATATTTGTATCTATCTTGAAAAAACCCACACATCTGTAATCAATTAATTTATAGCAAAGGAGCCAAGCATATACAATAGGGGAAGGACAGTTTCTTCAATAAATGGTGCTGGGAAAAGTGGACATTCACATGCAAAAGAATGAAACTAGACCACTATCTTAT